ATTTTTGTTAATTTTAATTAGGTCTAATAATATAGATTCAGATGGGGCGAAAGCAGTTGCTTCCAAAATAGTAAAATGTACTAATCTCTCCACTTTAAGCCTCAACCTTGAGTAATTTTTTACACATTTTCTCAATTTATTGTTTAAATAAATCGTTAAAGAAATCAAAGAATTAAACAATATTTAATTAATTAAGCATTTTTGTTAATTTTAATTAGGTCTAATAAAATAGGTTCAAATGGGGCGAAAGCAGTTGCTTCCGAAATAGCTAAATGTACTAATCTCTCCTTTTTAAGCCTCAACCTTGAGTAATTTTTTACACATTTTCTCAATTTATAGTTTAAATAAATCATTAAAGAAATCAAAGAATCAAACAATATTTAATTAATTAAGCATTTTTGTTAATTTTAATTAGGTCTAATAATATAGATTCAGATGGGGCGAAAGCAGTTGCTTCCGAAATAGCTAAATGTACTAATCTCTCCACTTTAAGCCTTGATATTGGGTAATTTTTTACAGACTTTCTCAATTTATAGTTTAAATAAATCATTAAAGAAATCAAAGAATTAAACAATATTTAATTAATTAAGCATTTTTGTTAATTTTAATTAGGAGGAATCAAATAGATTCAGATGGGGCGAAAGCAGTTGCTTCAGAAATAGCTAAATGTACTAATCTCTCCACTTTAATCCTCGACATTGGGTAATTTTTTACACATTTTCTCAATTTAAAGTTTAAATAAATCATTAAAGAAATCAAAGAATTAAACAATATTTAATTAATTAAGCATTTTTGTTAATTTTAATTAGGAGGAATCAAATAGATTCAGATGGGGCGAAAGCAGTTGCTTCCGAAATAGCTAAATGTACTAATCTCTCCTTTTTAAGCCTCAACCTTGAGTAATTTTTTACACATTTTCTCAATTTATAGTTTAAATAAATCGTTAAAGAAATCAAAGAATTAAACAATATTTAATTAATTAAGCATTTTTGTTAATTTTAATTAGGTTGAATAAAATAGGTTCA